CTTTCACTGTTTGAGAGCAGAGTCACAGTTTCTTACAGCCCTCCAGTAAATCTCACTGGTTTTCAAACCAGCTAAGGTGGCTTGTCTTACCAATGTCAGACACAAGGGCTAGGGTACTTAATATGTGGCTCAAATCACTTGCTTCCCAGGAGGGGTCCCTGTAACTGTGATATCCTAATCTACTTCTGTGACCCTTACTAGGAGAATGTGTCCCAAACAGATCACTTAACCTCCCATTTTATCAGATTCTGTATGGACCTTTCTTTTTAGCTTTGGTTGTAGAAGAGCCATCATGCTAGTCCCCAGACTGATGTCAGTGATTAGTTCTATATGTAGTTGTACTGCTGATGTGTTTGTGAGGGAAGATGAGAGCCCAGCATCCTCCTACACTGCCATATTGATCCCCCTGCCTGATTATTAGTGTTTTTCCCCAGTGCAAGAGGTCTCATCACCCACAGTGGAAGTGAGTTCTCCAATATCATTGGGTTTCTCACCTCCATCCCAAGTAGTATCAGTCTCCTATTGCACCGTGATATCAGCCTTTTTACCTCAGTCTAAGGATATTAACCCAGATTAAACAGGAAAATGGTAATATCCTCTCCTGAAGCAGTGGCCACTTATGAGTAGACTCAGGTCACAGTAGACAACAAAAGGTGAGGTTACAAAGTGTAACCAGTGAGGATATGTAGACACTGTAAAATACTTGAGTGTGTTTGTGTGAACAGGAATCTGGAGAATATGTGAGGAAAAGTACTTTATGGGTGTGGTTGATAATTGTAGAAGCAATATAAATTTGGATCAGTCCCAATTAACTTTTATAGGCCCATGAATCAGAGATTGTGCATTTCCTGTTGTAGTATTTGGAGTAAAAAGGAATCTAATCAGTTGTTTTTTATGACAAATATGTGGACAAAAATGTGGATCAAAAGATGGCCCACAATATGGAAACTGGGCATATTTATTCTTACTTCATTTAACATAGAGGAAATGGTTCAAAAGCTTAGGGACACTGGAATGTAACTGTGGATTTGTTATTGAAGACCTATTTGCCCATACTGGGAGGGTCCTGAAGGCCACCTTTCACCAATTATTTGAGAAATAAATTTGAGAGTTGAGTTCTAGCACCTTGAGGATCTCTATGTTTTTTCCTCTTTGTAGGCTGGACCTCACAGTGGGAATTGGAAAATCTGCTAAATTGAAAAATCTATATATACTGTGTATAATTGGATCATGCTGTGGCAGAACAAATAGCATCACTTAGTCACCAAACTAAAGGTAGAAATATTTCCTATAGTGAGCAACAGAAGCAAAGCAGTGATGAAAATATTCTGGTTGGCATGGGCCTATGGTGTTGGCTAAGAAATCATGGTATTTCTAAAAGTGAAGGAAATTAAGAAACCTAATTAAATATTACTCAATCTGCATAAACAGAAAACTTATGATCAAAATAAGGAAAAGTGTAACTTGAATCATAAAAAGTGTTAATCATAAACTTTCAATCAGTTCCCTGATGTGAGCCAGTTTAGAGACCTGGAGACCCTTGAATGAATGGGAATGAAGTCCTTGCAGAAGGACCTTATTTCACTAAGAAAAAAATACACTTAGTCTTTCTCTTAGCCTTCCTAAAAGGGAATCATTTCACTGGTTCCTCAGTCTGAAGGATGATGTCTATTATTTTGCAAAGGCCACATCGAAGTCATTTGAACTGCCTCTACCTAACATCAAAAGCAATGCCACTTTCCTGGAGTAATTGCAAAGATCTATGCCTCCATTAAAGATTTGAAGGATGTG